TAATAATTAGTCTGGTACTAAACTGGTACAAGGTTGATGCTGCTCATCTTGCAGTACATTATACCCAGTTGTATAGAAACTCTTTCCTTAACCTTTGTATTAGATAATTTTAATATTAGCTTTAATTAAAGAAATTATTCCTGTAAGATGCCATAGGTAAAGGGGGGGGTGTCACCTTTGCAAAGGCCAAAACAGAAGACTCCAGGGCACCCTTTCACATTAACTAATGAAATAGTACACATTAATTGAAGTCAATGAAGTTCTGTCCGATCAGGCTAGGGCTGAATTTGGCTGTAAAATATTTGCTATTCCTTTTCACTTATGCCTATTAAAGATTACGATGCCAGCAAAATGCAGCAGAGTGTAAAGCACAGGCATATGCAATGCATTACTTGATTAGTTTTTCTTTACACAACAATCCCAGCAAGCTGGCAAATGTGCAGACCCAATGAATGAGAAAATAATGCTATTATTACTCAAGAAATCAGTCGTTTTGGTTAGAGGATGGTTGGGGGAAGCAGAGAAAAATAGAATGCCTAAAAGTTGTTTCTAGAAAGTCTAAAGGCTTCTGGTTGAAGTCTTCCGGATATCTTTACACAGTCAAGTTAAATTGAGTATAAAACTGAAGGGCTGAAAATAGAGGTTAAAAGGAGGAAATAGGGATTCCTGATAAATATCCTGGGAGGCTGACCAAAATAATGTTTTTCCCACCTTTCTTGTGAGGAACACACACGGCTTGACTTGGGCTAGGTAATGCCAGATTGGCAACCTAGTTGGCAACCTAGACTGACATCTCAGAATTGCTTTCTTTAAGGGGTTGTCTACATAGAGAAATTAACCAGACTAGCTACTGGACGTGAATTAAGATAAACTGGGAAGAAAACACTTTTTCTGGAATAAGAGTGTCTACATGGGGAGCTATTCTGGAATAGCTATTGCACTTTCAGTTCCCCTACCTTATTCCAGAGTAACCTTCCTATATAGATAAAACCTAAATCTCCTGCCCTTATGTTTGCAAAGAAAACCATGAAAAAACATAATCTGAGTGAAAACCAGTGCAGTGTTCACTGTCTGCCTGCATCTGCTGATAGCATGAAAGAATAGCTCTAATGGGGTGTTGACTCAGATGCCCAATAATGAAAATTTAAATGTCAACATTAACTATTTCACTGCAGATCAAAGCATATATGAAAAAAAGAGGAAGAATCATATTATTAAAGTTTGCACAATTCACTATAAATGTAATTTTATTTTCTTACTACTTGGGCAAGTACTAGCACATTCTGTCCTGTAGTGCTAATAAAACAGATTAGAGAAGAAAGCATCTAAACCTCACCATGAGGAAGCCAATGCAGCAGAGCCCCACTTGGCATCCAAGCCTTCCCAGACCAGCATACTTGCTGCCCTCACCTGCATTTACAAAGACTGAGTGCACAAATCATATAAGTAGTCATGAAAATGTTTTAGTACACATAATGCATGTTTTATTCGCCTTATAGTAAAATCACCAACAAGGTATACAATTAGAGATGGGCCCAGTGGATCTGAAAATTTCTCTAAAGTTTGGCTTTGTTTGGATCTGAGTTTCTGGGTCATTCTGTTTTAGAAAAGTGGCCTCCCACAAAGTTCTGATCTGACGCTGAGCTTCACCACCCTTTAGGATTCTTTGAATGTTGGGGTTTTGGTTCAGGCTCCCCTTTAAATAAAAAATACTAGAAATAATCTTAGTAGTAATTATCAAATATTATAAAATTAATTGAGGTGGCATAGCACCACATCAGCAATGAAAATTTGTATCCCATGAAGTTGATGGCAAAGCTCTCATGTAGTAATTCAGTGTAGTAATATTCAAAATCAGAGACAGAGAGAAAGCTGAGTTACTATATTGTTAGTACTACTGTGGTACATTTTAGATCCCTGCATGGGACTATTCTTTAATCCCGCTCCCACTATTATTGCAGCGGGTCGTGCGGGACCCACAGGATCCCAGTCCCACTGCAGGGCTCTACACTAGTCCCATGCAGGGCTCTAGTACATCTAGCCTGCTGCCTATAGCCTGTCTGAAAACCTTGTTCTCCCCCTCACACTCATCATCCTTACATTCCTAAACCTGGCTCACATACTGCATGTTTAAGAGATTTTTTTTTATTGCTCACAGTAATTTCCACTTGGCTGCTGGCTGGCTGGCAAGTGGTACACAAGTACTCTCTGCGCTGCAAAAGCAATTTGATACTCACTATACTAGTTGAAGGAAGAGTGCGAATGGGCCAGCAGTGAGGGATGTTGGCAGAGCATAAGGAAAATGGTACTAGTACTATAACTTTTTTGTTGGGCAACTGTTTGTGACAGATATGGCAATATCCTGAACAAACCTTCTTAAATTAAGTTAATTTAAATTAAGTTACTATTGAATAAAGTATTTTTAGAATTTCATTGTATTACAAATGAAAATATTTATGTTTTAGTGTGACATTGTATGAAACTTCTTTAAGAAGAAGACAGAATTAATACAATTTCTGGGAAGTACTGTGGGCAGCAGAGAGTGAAAAGAGATCAGAACGAGAAGGAAAGACTGAGTAGAAGGAAGGAAGGAGGAGATGGGGTGCAGCGGAATTCTGGACTCCCCTTAACAGACACTGACCAAGGGACTCTTGGAGTGAGGACACTGTGGCAAGGATGTGTACAGGTTTTGTTGTTTTCCCACACAGGTGTGTATCTCTTGTGCCTCTCTGCATAAAGTATGACTGGTTTAGAATTTCTTTTTCAGTCTGTGTATTTTTGCTTCAACTATCACATGTTCCTGAAGATTTAAACAGTACAACAGATTGCCCACAAAGTGGAGCTCTGCCTCTGGGAAAGGGAGTGCTTAAGCTACTGGAATGTAGAGGGTCAGCACTGGTCGTATGGCCTTAAGGCAGCTGGGCTATGAGCTACCACTTCCAGCAGGGGTACCAAACAGAGAGAGTGTGCCAGAAAGACTAATGGGAGAGACTGAAGCCTGCCCAGACAAAAGGGAGCTTAAAAGCATATGGGTCCAGTGTGTGGGAAGTGAACCAAATACAGCAGCCTGGTGAGTGTTCAGAAGGGGGAGTTTGACTAGACCTATGACAATGAGTAAAGAAGGAATGCAATTATCCTTTTCTCTTCATCTGTTAAAACATTTTCTAATATTAATGCTGATTTTTTTTATAAGCGGGATAGGTAGTATTTATTATGTATTAAATATGAACAAGCTTCACAGGTTATGTCTTCATGCTTCCCAGTTTTGAACCCTTTTTAAAAAAAAACCCACTTCAAATGGATAAAGTAAAAGCTGATGCGTTACAGACCCAGGGCCTGTAATGCAATCTGCTAGTGTGGATTGCTGGATCCATGTGGAGTAGTATTAATTTTAATGAGAATCTTCTGGGATGTAAGTGTCCATGCTAGCAGATGCTCAGATATGTTGGCAATGGTTAGATCGGTTCAACCAATTTTTTTACAAAAGTAATTATGGTGTAATGCTAAATTATCCAAGAGCAATTTCACTATCTATCTTCAGACAATGTATTGCTACAATTTACATATTGGATGAAACTTGGGAATCTTTTTGGTTAAACAGAATCATGTGCTCTCTTGCAAAGATGGAAATTTTATTACTAATTTATGTTTTGGAATACAAGGTGTGTGTTATACATGTCAAAGAAAGATCCCAAGTACTTCAATCAATACTGGAGAACTTGTATTCAAAACAACGTATTTTTCATATTTCACCTACTGATAGAATAACTGAATCAATAAAATTGGATTAGAACCCTTCAATATGCTGTGTTACTGGGAAGATATCAATGGACATATCAAGAAACTAACTCTGCAGCTATTACTCTGCAAAATAACAATGCAAGAAATTGGCTACATGCCTAGAATCTTAAGTATCACAGAATGGAACAAACTTGTCTGTATATTTGATTAGACTAGAAAGGTTAACTCACTCAGCAAATAATTCTCGATATAGATTACAAACGATGTTCACCTTAGCGCACATGGAACTGTTAATGCCTAAGGAAATCAAATACTAATACAATTCCATTGCAGCTATGGGTTACTTCTGACTCAGTACCAAATAAGAGTTCTGAATCATTTAGGATGCTCTAACTAGAGTTGTACATCCCAATGGCAAACTGTTCCCCCAAGTATATTATGATGAGGGCTTGTTTCTGGTTGCTGAAACTGACTTGCACAACTTTAAAAAAACATGTTAATTAAAACAGATGAAGACAGGGCATATGACATGCCTGATATGCAGTATGTAGGAAATTATCCTAATTGGAGCCTTTAGATGCTATTGCAATATGAACAGGAATATCTTTAAAATGCAATCTCTGACTGTGGTGAGATATTTGACTTTAAGCTGAGAGCACAGGGTCTTCAAAGCACAGGCAGATTTTTTTCCTTTTGATAATGCTGTTTTCCTAGGACAATGGTTCTGACTCTTGAAAAGCACACACCCACTTCTGCATGGAAGCATCTACAACGACTGGGCAGTTTGCATCAACCAATATCTCGATGGTAACTATTTACTCTTCTGGTTAACATTTTAAAGTTTGTTTTAAACGAAGCCCTAACAGCGTTGTAAAATGCGCCCTCCATGTCTCGGGGCAAACACAATGTTAACAAATATTCCCTTGGGGAACTTTGTTTTCTAGGCAGAGCGGAGAAGGCAGCAGTCCCGGCCGGCCCACCAGAGCCTGTCAGGACCTCCTCTTCAAGCCCCAGTTCCCAGCGCTAAGGGCATCCTAGGAGGGTCCGGCTTGCCCGTCTGTCTAATGAAAGTCAGGTTCAGCCTTGCAGGTTGCAGAGAAAAGCTTGCGAAGGGTACCATCAGAAGAGCGCCCGCTGTGCTTGTTGCGGGGCGCTGCCACGCTGTTTGGGGCACTAGGTGCCCGAAGTCAGCAGACGCGGCGACCCCCGCACCACCGGGGCAGTATGCAGGCCGCCCGCTGGGCCGGGTACGTACCGGCGCTTGCAGTGGCCCACGGGCCAGTCGGGGCCTAGCCCAGCGCGGGAGAGCCGGGCTGTGCCCGCAGCAGCAAGCGGGACCCTGGCACGGAGCGAGGCGGGGGTGGAGCCTGGAGCGGGCGGTCGATGGTTAGCAGGGCACTGGGGGAGGGAGGAAGGAGGAGCCGCCACCGGCCCCAGCAATACCTCTGCCTATCCCCTTTAAGATGAACAGGTGACACAAAGCAAGAGGCGTCATAAATGGTGAAAGCGCGCGGGAAACTATTCTGCCTCCATGATTGGCCAGGAGAATAAGACAACAACAGCGCGCGCCAAAATCCGCAACCGGCCCGGCCTCTGTACAGCCCACCATAACGCCACGATGGCCCCGCCTCCTTCCTTCAGCGGCCCAATCAGTACCTGACCAGCTTCTTCAGAAAGACGCCCTTACTGCAGGGCGGAGCATCGCTTGGCTGGCCGCCGCTGGCCCGCGATCCCAAGAAGTTTCGAATTCTGTTGGCCGGAGAGCGCCCTAGCCAATGGCGGGGCCGGGATGTGACCTAGCCCCGCCCACATGGGCGTGACCGGCCACTTTCTCACAGGTGATTGCCTGGACTTGGCTGTCACTCCATTATGTATCAACGGGATTCGGTGATTGGTTCCGCCCAGGCGCGAAATGTAACGCGGGAAAATCTTGGGCTCGGCAGGGGCCGGGCTGCCTGCAGGTTCGGAGAGGTCGCGGCAGCGGCTCGGGTTCTGTTCTGACCGAGGCCAGGTTGTGGAGCCGACACCGCCGCAAACGAGAGAAGCGCAAGTGCGGCCGCTTCTCCGTGGGCTGCTGCCATGGCCGGCGGCCGCCGCTGACACGGCGCATCTGCAGGTCGGCGGCCGGAGCGGGAGGGGAGACACTGAGACCCGGAGAGGACCGGCCGGCGATGAGTGGCTGAGGCGGATCGGGCGGTGACAAGCGGCTGTAGGGTGAGATCTCCGCGCCCGGGAGAGCGGGCCTGAGCCGCCACGGAGATTCCCCGCCCCGCTGCCTGCGAGGGGCTCGCGATGGCGGAGAGGCCGCCCCCGGTGATCTTCTGCCAGGATTCCCCGAAGCGTGTCCTAGTCTCCGTTATCAAAACCACCCCGATTAAACCGTCCCGGGGGGGCGAGGAGCCGGCGCCCGCCCCGCCCGTCCCCACCAGCCCCGGCTTCAGTGACTTCATGGTGTATCCCTGGCGCTGGGGGGAAAACGCGCACAACGTGACCCTCAGCCCCAGTAGCGCCGCCACTCCCTCCTCCGTCCAGCAGCCTCGAGTGGGGGTGGTCCGAACCTCCAGCGGGGAGGATGAGGAGGCGGGCAGCCCGGATAGCGGCGGCAGCCACCTGAAGGTGAGTCCGGAGGGAACATGCCAGGGAGCTGGGCACGATAGGGTTAAACCCTCGCCGGGCCCATAGGAGCTTTGGGCCAGAGCGGGGATGAGGGAGGCGCTGCCGCCGCTGGGCCCTAGTGGACGTTGCGCAGGGCGGGCGCCGGGCGTCTGTCGGGTTTAAAGGGTGAATCTGTGGCCACCACCCCCGATTTAAAGTGAAGTCACTTCCGCGTGCGGTTTGTGCGCCGGTGACGACACATTCGCGCGCCAAAATTATACCTGCCAGACGCTCGCTCGTCGTTTGCCTGTGTCACATGCTGGCTGGGGAGGGCGCGACAGCGCTCCAGCTCCACTCCTGTGCGCAGGCGCGCTGCGGAATGTCCGCCTGTAAGCCTAGGGTTCGGCCGGGGGCGGGGCTGCCTGCAGTCTGGGCCTTCGGGGCTCGGAGCAGAGCTGCGGGGAACGTGGGCCAGTGACTTGACACCCCCTCCGTAAACTGGGTATGGGGGTCGTTACAGTGGTGGAATCTCACCTGTTTGCAACACGTGGCCCTTTGCAGCCTCTGCAGTGCTGTCCCGCCCCGCGCAGTGCTTCTGTACAAATGCTCCGTGAGACACTGATCCCAGACCACATGCTCAGCTTCCAAGTAAAAATGCTTCTCCAAACTGCCAACCCAGCAAAGCCAGCCCGGCCCTGAGAGTCCGGCTGTGCTCCTTACCAAGGCTGAGGGTGGGAGGTAACAGCTGAATCTGTATGGCAGCTAATGATCTCTGTTGTACTGCAACCCGTGCCAAGTGTAAAGTGTGAGGAGGTAATTTTGTCCGTTCAAACTTCCTTTAAACTCCTGGTTGCAATTGATGGAATGTAGATATTTAAATACATGATCCTTCTACAAATCGGCTGGCTGGCTGAGTTCTTTCAAGAGTCAGTCCCCTCTAAAACAATCTTTTATCTCTTTTATGTCCCAGTGTTAAAATAGGAATCCTCCAAAGTGGGCATTACTAAAAATATGGATTACAGTGATAAAAATGTAAATAGCAACTTAGCTGAGTTGTATAGGTCTCAGAACAATGCATTCCAAGACTTCTTGTGTATTACTTACTCATACAAATGCTATTGCCACCTCTTTTCTGGACCTGAAGTTTTAAAATGTGCTCAAATCAATCTGTCAGCTAAGAGGACTATGCATGATGTGGTAGTTCTCTTTCCTTTTTCACAAGTGGAGCTGTTCAGTCCTGACAGATGTTGCCTCTTGTTCTGTTATGTGCTAACTGATCCAAAGTTGGAATGGCCTTAATACTTTCAATAATAATTTCATGCTGTCAGTAGCAGGGAAAGGGAGACTCTCAATCCTGATGCTCCCTGAGATAGGAGCTAGATTAGTCTAATATATTTTAAAAGTTATAAAGTCTTTCCAAAATATTCTAGATCATATAATATTCTTCCCTCTGCCAAGATGATAGTGCTGTGCAAGTAGGTTTCATCATGGGAGATGAAATAGTGATGTTTTTATTTACACTATATTCATTAAGAGTACTCAAGCAGCGCACAGGCAATCCTCTTTTTCAGGAATCTAAGCCCAAACACCAATGCCTGGTTCCCAGGGAGCAACTCTGTCCCAGGAATTTACTTACCTTAAAGAGATTAAGGCAGAAAGCAAATTGTGCTGCTTTCTTCCAGAAAGAAATTACATCCCAAAATTAAGAACAATGTAACATTTATTTGAAAACTGAACAGAGCTCATATGCTGAGAACATTTTTTTTTAAAACTATGTAATAGGGCCATCTGGTGACTCCTACCATAATAAGATACTTTAGGGTGCCAGATATTCCCAGACTTCATATTTGCTGTTCTTTCATGATGTACTTATTTTTAAACAATTGTTCATCATGGCTGTTCAGACAAACCAGTTCAAGAGTTAATGTTAAATCTATGTAATCCCTGGGTCCAGCTCTTTCACTCTTCATTACGTGTGTGTGTGTGTGTATAACTTGAATGCTATTGTTGTGTTTATGCAATGACATCATGTTTCTAGTATCTAATTACTTGTGTTCTTTAAAAATGACATTTAACCTGGAGCTTTGTGATTAACTTGTTTTCAGGAAAAAAATAGTTGCTATGGATTTAAATAATCTCTTGATGTGGTTCTTTTAATGCTTGGTGAATAACTATGATGGAGGAAAATAAAAGCTATTAGACAACTGTATTTTCCTGATGTGCTGGTACATACTTTCTTTCGAGAAAGTTGCTCCTGTTTAGAAAAGCTTCCCTTGGACTGAATCATTTGTGTCCGCAAGTACTATATTGATATTTTTTAAACAAACGGTGCAGTTTCTTAATAGTGTGGGTTTTTTAATAGGATGGTATTAGACGTGGCCGACCAAGAGCAGAGACAGTGCGAGATCTAATAAGTGAGGGAGAGCATTCATCCAGCCGAATCCGTTGTAACATCTGCAACAGGGTGTTTCCACGAGAGAAATCTTTACAGGCACACAAAAGAACTCACACCGGTAAGTAAAAGGAATGTAATGTTGTGCATAGAAAACATATTTATCAAGTAGTTAAGATTTTAGCTTGGAACTTCTCATTCTTACAATTAGTATTCTGGTCTAGTTATTGAATGGACTACTTTTTTCCCCTGAAGTCTGTTAGTGTGGTCAAAAATTCAAAAAAAATGTCATCTTTGTGTAACTGCTTGTGTTTATACTGGAGTAATTGTGGCAGAGCAACCAGTATTGCTATGGTAAAAAGAAACATTTAGAGAGGTTTCCCTCTGCTTTAGTTACATGTTACACTTAGTAACTGAAAAAGAGAGAAGAGGTTGTGTGGTTTTTGTTTTTTGTTAAGTTTTACTCTATATATCTGACAATACTTTTCACTTTCTTTTCTCTGTTTCCCTCTTGTGTGGGTCTTTCACACAACAAGGTAAGGGTGAATGCACAGAAGGAAAATAAATCTATAAAAATTGTCGGGAGCTTTAGGCCAGGTATAATATTTTGAGCTTAAAAAAAAAAATTTAATTTACTAGCTTTAAATAGACCCTGCCCTCTCTCATTTTCTTCATTACCACCCCTTATTTTTGTATTTATTATTTGATGCTAAAATATGTTTCTGGCTTAAATTTAAGGATAAAATCTCTTCCTAGGATTAGTTATTTAATAATTATGAAGTTAACATGCATTTAGATTAAGGGAGATCAAATTTTTTTAAACTTTCTTTATCTAGCTGCTCTGTTTTGCTCAGTTCTTGCTATTAGGAGGAAAAAACTGCTGACTATCTTAACACAGACCTTTGACCACATGACTAGCACCTAACTGCATCTTTTGGGGAAAAATAATATAAGTGTTACAGAAAAATGGCTAATTTTTTGCTAAAACATTATGCATTGACAAACTGGACCCATCTTGCTTTTGAAAAGTGAGATTCATTGTTCCCTTATACTAATCATAATTTAACAGATTTTTCTTATGTACATGACATTGTATTCTGCAATAAAATGTCACGATACTTGATAATACCTCCAAAATAACTTGCGTCCTGTGGTTTATTTTTCTGGATCAAATAAGGCAATTCTGCCTGCCTGCCAGTATTAAACACCAATTTCTCTATTCTTTTTGGTCACACACAAGATGTTCTTGTATTTCATTTTCCTGGTAATGTTAAACTTCCATCCCTGTAGTGCTAACCGCGTCAGATTGTCTTAATGATAAACTCGTTGGGTAAGATTTATCCCTGGTGATGACACTCCATTGACTTTTATAGATTTACTACAGTACTAGATTTGGCCAGTTACATCTCACAAAAAGACTGTTTGCCCATTTTATTTACTTGTGAAATTTCACTGTAGAACAGAAAGGCAGAAATTATTAGCTGTATTTCTTATTTGCACATTTTTCTTCAGCTGCCCTAATATTCTGCCTCTAAATCCTGATGTCCTTTCTTAGGCAAACTCCCCTTGACTTTAGTGGTAGTTTGCCTATATAACTGAAGGTCTTAACACTTTTCTGTGGACAGCAGGCAGCAAATAGCTGGCAAGAGAAGAAATTCTGAAGTTCTTTTTGCAGTCTTCCTGGAACTGCCCCTCCTATCCCTAGCTATTGGGGCTCTGTAAAGGGTAGCATGAGTAGCATATAGCATGAGTGCGCAGCTCCACGCCCCAGAGCACTGCTTTACTGCGTTACTGCGAACCCGTGTTATATCTGGGTAGAAGTGTATGTGACTCACTAACATTGGACTCCATTACTATTAGTATCAGACTTAGAACTGCATTGTGGTGGTGAACCTTACCCTGCTTCAAATTTCATTGTGGAGGTTTAGGGGAAGCAATACTACAGTCCGAAGCTGTATTTCCTGCCTCTCCAAAACCTCTGGCAGATACTACTAAGCAGTCACATAGCAACCCAACCAGTGGTAGAATGGATCCAAGAATGCTTCTGTCCTTTAATAGGAGTAGCATATTGCCAACCCCATTCACAAGTCACTCCATCCAAATCCATATCAAGCTCTTGCTTCTGTGCAAGTCCATGAAATGCTCTGCGCAACCCCGTTTTCTCTTTGAAAGGGTAGGATCTGTGAATTTCTGTGCATGGATCAAGGGTGATTTGGCTCCATGTATGGACTTCAGGATTTGGCCCTAGGGACTTAAGCCCAGATCCCCAAAGGTATTTAAACTCCTAACTTCAATTGTAATCAGAGCCTTATTCCTGAAATGTTAGCAATCATTTCTTTTGGCCAATATTGCGTCTTGTATTTGTTGAGTATCACCTAGAGGTGGAATTGTGAACTGTACTACAGATTTAGAACATAACTTCAACAGAGTGCCGTCCTTCATGTACTAGACAACAGGGGCTGCTCCAGCCTCTTCCCAGTGCGGGGTTGAGGTGGGCTAGAATGAAAATTGGGATGGCGGGGTGTGCTATACATTTTGTGGGCACACATGCTTATTTATTTTTTTAACAAAACATTTTAAGTGCATGTTATCCTCAGAAGGGGAATAAAAATATATACAGATTGATTGGTTTTAAACTTCATCTAAAGTAGCTCACTTGTGCAACATTTATTTACAGAAAACCAATAGGAAAAATAATTAAGCCAATAAAAAAAATAAACAAATGCAAACTTCTGGGGAAAAAAAATCACTGGTTAAATATTAATAGCTAATTACCTGAAATTGGAGAAAGTACTGTATTTTAAAATTTAGCCATTTGCACATGGTAGATTAAGATATTTGGAGACTCAGAGCCATGATACAACAACTCAATCTGGAGCAGGGGGCCTCAGTGCGAGAAAGAGGTAATTGAGCACACAGGTGCTATAGAAGGCATTACCTGGACACCTTCTGCTCTGTGCTCCGTCTATAGCCAGTTTGCAAACCGAAATGTTGTTGGCCTGAGCCGGAGCATGTGCAGCTGCAGCAGGCAGGGAGCCACACTCTGGGGATGTGAACCATGTAGGGAGGAAGCAGGGGTGCCATTTCAGATTTTGGTGGTGGTGGTGGGGCAACTTTTACTACTATTCCAGGGGCTACTTAGACACCTGAAAACTCTAGGGTTTTGTGGGTGTTTTTTTTTTTTTTTTTCTGGCAGATCACTTAGAAATTAACTGATAGGAGCAGTGTCTAATTCCTATATAAAGAAAGGAAAAAAACCACACACACAAATTAAAGCCATATTTTAAGTTTATATGTAAGTTTAGAACAATCAGGAGATAATACAGCGAGAATCCCAAACCTTGAGGTATAAATTTTCGAGCCTTAACACAGATATCAGAAACACAAGTTAGATGAGTTGAACGCTATCTTTATTTTCTCTAACAGATATACTCTGTGTTACTGCTATTATCTACTCTATTTTAGTCAGTTATTTTTTATTCCACTAAAAACATTTACTTAATTTTAACATTATTTTTTCCCCCTTTTATTAAGAACAGGAATTAATTTTAATTATTTTGGCATTTATGTTTACCGATCACGATCATGTACACCTCTACCCAGATATAACGCGGTCCTCGGGAGCCAAAATATCTTACTGCGTTATAGGTGAAACTGTGTTATATCGGGTAGGGAAGGCTGTGCCTCCCCAAAGAGCCTGGCCCCGCCCCCTATCTGACCCCCCCCCCCACCTACTTCCTGCCCCCTCAGAACCTCCGACCCATCCAACTCCCCCTGCTCCTTGTCCCCTGACCACTCCGCGAGACCCTCTGCCCCTTATCCAACTGCCCGGCCCGACACCCTTAACAAGCCACTCAGAGCAGCATGTCAGAGCCGTCCCTAGAGGGGTGCAGGGTCTGGGACAAATGAGCCTCCCCATTAGTCTCCTCACCATCCGCCCAGCGCTCCCGCCCGCCTGGCCGCCGCTCGCCTCCTCTTCACATCTGCCTGCCTGCCGCTCGCCTCCCTGCTAGTCTCCTCACCGTCTGTCCGGCGTGCCTCCCCCCGTCTGCCACTCTCCTGCTCGCCTTCTTCCTGCCCACCTGCCTCCTCACCCCCCTCCTGCCTGCCACTCACCTCCCCATTCCCCTCCTCACTCCGCTTGCCTGCCCGCCTCCCACCCTTAACACGCCGCTCAGAGCAGCGTGTCAGAGCTGTCCCTAGAGGGGTGCGGGGCCTGGGACAAATCAGCCTCCCCGCTAGTCTCCTCACTGTCCACCCAGCGCTCCCGCCCGGCCATCGCTCGCCTCCTCACCCCCAGCTACCTGCCTGCCGCTCGCCTCCCTGCTAGTCTCCTCACCGTCTGTTCGGCGCGCCTCTCCCTGTCTGCCCGACCACCGCTCTCCTGCTCGCCGTCTTCCCGCTTCCTCATCCCCCTCCTGCCTGCCGCTCACCTCCCCATTCGCCTCCTCATCCCGCTTGCCCACCTCCCACCCTTAACACACCGCTCAGAGCAGCGTGTCTGAGCCAGACACGCTGACCCGCCGGAGCGCGTGGCTCTGCCCCCCAGAGCACTGCTTTACTGTGTTACTGCAAACCCGTGTTATATCGGGTCGCGTTATATCAGGGTAGAGGTGTATGTGACTCACTAACATTGGACTCCATTACTATTAGTATCAGACTTAGAACTTGCATTTATTTTCGTACACATTTTAAGTTACTTTACAAATATAATTAAAAATACAAATTGAAAATAAGTGACCTTCATCTGCAGTGTTTAAAGTTATGTGTTTAGCTAATGTGTTTTTTTTAAAACTTGTACTGCTAAAGTGAGTACAATCTAAATTTACATTCTAGAAGGACACTTGATTGTACCACTTTGAATAATTAATGACAAAGCACAATAAGGTAAAAGTAGTAATGATAATTACTCCAGCCAGGACAGGTTAGGTATTTTAGAACTCACTACTCAAATAATTAAATTTAAGCATAAGAGAAATACAATTATGAAATGCACGGTCCAGTCAAAAAACTAATTTAACAGTACTGTAATCCTTAATGAACTTTGAAAGAATAAAATTAGAGAATATATGTGCATTTCGACAGGAAGTACCAAGAAATAACAATACTACTATACATGTGCGTGAGAGAATATGTGTTGGAGGAAGTGTATGGGAGATTGTATGCACCTGAGAGTGTCAGTGCGCTGTCTCTTTAAGCCAAGCACTCAAGAGCCTGAACAATTGTTCAGTGCAGCAGCTGCAGCTATCACACCTGAGCCAGAGGCACCAGCACAGACAAGTTCCCTGTCCCCCCAGCTCAGCGGAAACCCACTCAGGCACAGCCACCTCTAACATTGGGCAAGCTCCCACAGCATCCTGCCAGCCATGGATCAGCTTCCCAAAGAAGGGGAGACAGCAGCCAAGACAGCAGCTGGGTGGCTGGAGATCGTTGGCTGCTGGCCAGGTGCCCAGTTCTGAGAGGGGTGAGGGGGCTAAGCCAAATTTTGGAGTGGCTGTAGCCTCCGCAAGCCCCCCAGCCCTACCCCTTCTAGACAAAGATTAAATCGGTCACCCCATAATATAAACATCTGTTGTGCTTAATATCCAAGAGGATTTCTCCATTTTACCACAACATAATCACTTCTGCTGTATTAGGTACGCTCACATCTCCCTTCTGTCTGAAAATTACTTATTGTTATAAGTAACACCTAAGATTGTTGCAACTGAAGGTTGAGAGAATATTTTTCCTCTAGTCGCTGTTTACTTTGTGTTAGCTCAGTTTATTATTCCTTTATATTGTCACTTTGTTTCTCATTTGTGTGGGTCTTTTCACATAGTAACATGGGAAAGGCTGTGTAAATTGCAAAATATCATTGTAAAATCCCAATTGTTAAGAGAATTAGGGGAAGTGTAGCACCTAAGACTACTTGAACAGGAACTCAACTGACTACATTTCAGTTTGATGTCCTTGTGGAAGTGGATTTTTGCAGTTTCTGGGCTATGATTATCTTTCCACAAAGGATTTATTTTTTCATCTTTGATTTAGCAGAAGCACTGAGCCATGGACCATCACTAGATGGTGTCCAGACTTTTTAACTCTTAAAATTCTACTCAATTTTTTTTTTAGGTGAAAGGCCTTATTTGTGTGACTATCCAGATTGTGGGAAAGCCTTTGTTCAGAGTGGGCAGCTCAAAACACACCAACGTCTTCACACAGGAGAAAAGCCTTTCGTCTGCTCAGAAAATGGTAAGCCATCAGAAAATAACTGGCAGTATTCAGAGCTTGGGCAAGTTTGGCTGTAGTATTAGTACTACCATCCACATGTGCCCTGGATCTCAATTTTAGATACTCTTTTAAAAGGGGGGGAAATAAATCTGTGTGCAACCACATAAACATTTGTCAGTTTAAAAGCAAAGTTCTTAAAAGTATAAGCAGGTTGTTTAAACAATTACTTAATTTTTGATTATAGGGCATTCTATGCCGAATTGAATCCAGATTTTAGAGAGGGAAGAAAGTTAATTTAACAATGACAGTTTTTTAAATTTTGGGCTTACGTGTTGGACAGCTACTTTTCTTGATTATTGTCCTTGCTTTTTTATTAAGGATGTTTAAGCAGATTCACACATGCAAACCGTCATTGCCCCAAGCATCCCTATGCAAGACTGAAGAGAGAAGAACCCACAGGCAGACTGAGTAAAAAACAAACAGCTGACAATAAAGCTGTTGCTGAGTGGCTAGCAAAGTAAGTTCTCTTAAGCTGTGACCATCTAGAATTATTTATTAATGCTGAGAGCACTGATTTTTGAAATGTCAGCAGAAGCCAAAAACTTTTACACTCATGGTGTTTTTTGTCATCTCAGACTATTTTTAAATTCCTCTTGAATTACAATACTTTTTATACAACCTTTATGTGAAACAATTTTTAAAGACTCTGTCATCATTTCTCTGGGTTATATTTACCTTGCAGTTCTTGAATGTATTGATTCCTTCACAGCTATGCCACGAGAGAGTTAATCTAGCAAAGGTTAATCCATAGAGCCTCTGAGAGAATTAAAATTATCAGTATCAGAAACTGACTTAGTACCTTTCACTGGTACAACCACCCCAAGTCAAACTTCTTCTTTAAGGCACTTCTCGTGACATAGTTTCTCAGAAAGTTCTTAATATTCCCCCCATGGCTACACAGATGTCTCATTTGATGAATGTACTACTATTGCGTGCTCTATAAAATCATTGTACTGTAAAGACAATACAACACACTTCCTCTGTTCTTCATTTTCTCTTCAGGCTGAATGATTCAGCTGTTCCCTAGTGTGCTATTTGTTTAAATTCCAGAGGTTAGAATTAACTTCTCTAGTGGTAGTTGCTTCAGCTTTCTTTCTCATTGGGATGGACTTTTGCCTTCTCGCCCGTTCTCCCTTCTCGATACGATTTCCCCCTTTGTGTGGCTCTTTGCTTATTGCAGCAGCTGTTAATACAGTGCTGTCCTTTGGTGCTGCAGTGTTCATGCTGTTGAATACTCATGTATGAGGGAAGGTGGTGGTAGGTGTAATAAGAGCTGATTGACTCTTTGGAGAGAGAGAGAGAGGGGGGTCTTGTAGTGGACTGGGACTTGAGAATTGAATTCAGTTCCTGACTGCCACAGACTTCTAAGCTAGTCATTTAATCTTAGAAATTTTAATGTCTCAGAAACTATCTGTAAAATGTGGATAACAGTACTCCCTATCTTCCTGACTTTGGAACAGTGTACATAGGGTTGCGGTGGATTTTCCATCACTGGCAACTTTTAAATCAAGATTGAGTGTTTTCTAAAAGATATTCTCTAGTTCAAACAGGAACTATTTCGGGGAAGTTCTCTGGCCTGTGTTTATTAAGGAGATCAGACTAAATTATCACAGTGGTCCTTCCAGGCCTTAGAATCTATGATGGAGGTGTGGGAACAACACGTAGAAAGGATTTGCATTGTAGATGTGTGTGAGGACAGGGAGCTGAATACCATTTGACATCTTCCTGAGGTGGAAAGCTTTCTGTTTGTTTAAATGCTACAAAAGAAGGACTGAGAAATTAGCACTTGGAATGAAATGAATGATCCAATCATGTTTTAAGATTCTAGTTTGGAAGATTCTTGTCAGCTTTCAATGAAACTTGTTGTGCAAGTTGGATGATGCTTATAAAATATGTAAAACTTTGACTTCACAGATATTGGGAGACTAGAGAGCAGCGCACTCCTACTTTGAAAAGCAAAACAGCTCAGAAAGCTGACCAGGAACAACAAGATCCCTTGGAATATCTTCAGTCTGATGAAGAGGATGATGAGGAAAAAAATAGTGCTCCCTCAGCTGCCCGCCGTAGCCTTCAGGAGCAGCGTGAACGCCTGCATGGTGCACTGGCTCTTATTGAGCTTGCAAACCTGGCTGGAGCACCACTGCGACAGTAGCATAGGAACTGAATCTGCCAGTATATTAAAATGTACTGCCTGGTGGTACTTAACCAGTTAGATCCTGGGCATAAGCTAAGCACCTTATTTGCTTATCATAGGCTGCTATTCTGTAGAATTTATGAAGAATGTTGTTGCCCCACAAGATGGGGTGAGAGAATTGCACTTTTTTGTATGGTAAAAGACAGATGTAAAGTTTTTAAGTATTTTGTAAATATGGGACTGCACAGTGCAGGGTCAACAAATTGCATATTGTGGAAAGTTAAGATTTTTGCAAGGTTAATTCATTCATTTGAAGCAGTTCTCACAGGAAGCACTTTCTGAACATAATGCTGTATGAATAGGAGAATTGTACAGGTAACAAGAGGAGGATTATTTATCTGACTATTTAAACAAAATTACATTTAGTACGTTTGATAATACTGTAAGCAGTGATGCAACCGAGTCTTTAATGGCAATATATTTTGCCTAGTATCACTGAGAAGAGGGCAAAGGTTCTAACTTGTGGTGGGGAAGAAACTGGTTATGTAGAAACTGAGAGTTCAGGATCTTCACTGTGACTACCCAAAGTATGAGACTGACTTCGCAATCATATTTTAGATTTGAGATTTCAGTAGAATCTCTTGGTCTGAGTAGCACTTGTTATTCCTAGCACATGATGTTGGGAACTTTTGCACATTGTCGGGCTTATTTGAAGATGAATGATTAGCCTTGCAAAGTCTAGACATAAAGGTAACAATTGGTAATATTTCTCAGATATTTTGGACCCTGTAATGAGATTTGGCACTTGTTTTGTTAATAAAGTGGGTATTTACAGGGTGGTATTGATTTGTAGTAAACTATTTAGACATCTTATTAGCTAACACTACGTTTTAAAGTTCTGCTTTTATATGAATATTAGCAAATAGAAGCCTCCATATTCTTTTTTTAATTGCATAAAGCCACCTTATTGCTTTACTTCAGGATAAGATGTCAAGTTTGTGTTCACTAAGTGTAGTACAGCTATCAGTTAAACACGGCAGAAGAATATTTGCTGTTCAACTAGAAAATAGGCTTCCAGAGATAGTTGCAAGTGTGTTTAAATTGTGTGGTTTCATATATCTTTCCCAAATAAATGAAGTTACAGAACACGGCTTAGTGATCTCAAGCACAAAACGAAAAGTAAGTTTAGCAGTACATCCTTATCACCTCATGTTTTGTATTGGTTTTATCTGACTTACAATACAACCGGCTTGTCTCATGGTCTTATTTTGCCTTTCTTTTGAGCAGCATATAACCAGAGATGCATAATATGCTAACAGATAATAAATTTGGTGAATTGGGCATGCTCCTGAATATTTTTTTTAATGTCAGGCTGCTGATTTAGTGGATATTAACAAAAAATCCAGTTATCTTCAAATTTATTGACCTACTGCTTCTGTAGATCATAACATTACCCAGGCTATAGACTCCTCCCTCTTATCACAACAAAACCAGAAAATATAGATGTGAAGGGGAGCCATTTTTCCTGTTAGTGTGAGAGGGAGGAAAAAGTATTTAAGACTTGAGTAATTTTTTAAAAACTGATTAGATGAGGACAGATGTTTCAGAAATCTAACATGATTACAGCAGAGAATGCTACTCTTGAATTCAGTTTCTAATAACTGATGCCTATAATGGCATGAATTTTATTAACCTGGTACGTGTTTAGAATTGAGTTGGTGCACTTAACTAAACAGTGGTTAGAGAGATTCTAACTTAAGTGGTTGTGATTTTTAGACTTACCAATATAGTTCTTGATTTCTTGTGTTCATTTCCTTGTTAATTTATTTGGCCTCAAACTTAAAAAAAAAAAAAAAAAAATTAAAGCAAAATACTCTTCTGTGGCCACCTGGGACATTCTAACTACATACAACTACTTGGCAATTCAAAGGCAGTAGCTGTAAAACCTCTAAGTCTAACAGTGTTGGGCCTTAATCCTTCAAGTTGCTGGACATGGGCAGACCCCTATGCATGCCCACATGGAGCACCACTGACTTTATAGGCACTCCATGTGGACACAGATCTGTTAGCAGCCAGTTGCAGAATCAGAGCCACGTATTGGGGGCGGGGAGGAGAACCTGTTCCCCAATCAATCAATTGTAATAGGTTCAACACATTTACAGTACTGGAAGAAACTTTCTACAAATTATTCAATAAACTGAATTTGGTCTAACTGTAGACACATTCAAGCAGCTTACCCTGTTTTGTTATACATTTTGGGAAAATACCAACTATAATTGTTTGAGGTGTTGAAGACTGCTTTTGGAGTATTTAATGTAATTTTGAAGTGTTCTGTGCTGCATAAGTGTCAGTTGTAGTTTGGCATGACTTAACAGCAAAAGAGTAAAAGTGCTGTAACTTTCATAGGTGCTCCAAATAAAAGTTGGTTTAATTTTAAGTTTTAAATCCAAGTGTTAGCAGTGGTAATTTTTGATCATGGTTTTTAACTGTATTGTGTCAAGCTAGTTGCTCTAGACTCCCACAGTTCAATCACTTTATAAAACTATTCCTTGACCCTTTAAAAGGGTTTATTGCCCTGACCAGTACACTGTTGTAGAAAAAAAAAATACTTTTGCTGTTTACTTCCTAATCTCCTAACTTGAAATTGGTTTCTGAACTTTATTACGGTATTTGATGAATTCAAGATAATTCATTTGAGTAAGAATCCTGTTTGGAGTAATTATGGTAGCCCAAAATGAATAAGCATGGCGAGAATACATTTTCTTTAAGTAGTCCAAGCTAGTGAAGTGTCCTACTTCATGACCAACAATTCAGTTTGCAGTTGATCCTCTGTTCATTTTCAAGTTCTTATTCTTTGTCGGACATGATAGGTGTGAAAGAGCTTATCGGTATCTTAGATTAAGGTATGCTGTGGGCACTAGAAAACTAATGATATGCAACTGGAATTGTCATGCAACATTGTCCAGACTACTTAAGTGGCAAGACTGGTTAATAACACAAGCTATAGTTTCATCAGACTTCTATACTTGGTTCTCTGAGGGGACAAAATTGGTAAATAAAAGCATTGCTTCAGGAAAATGAAATATTTTCTAAAGATAATTCCCTCTCCTGAATGAGGAGGAAAATTCATGTTACCTTGAAGTGACTTTTTGTAAGTTATTAGCAAGGGTGGCAATTGGCATGTAGCCTACCCAACAGGAATTGAATGGAGGTCACTGGAGAAACTGATAGTAACCATTCCTATGCACTACTGATCAAGTCCATAGCTGAAACAATTACCAAAAATGAGCAATCTGCTTAGCTTTCTTACGAGGGGGCAGAACCTACCTAAAAGTCTAACCCTGGAATTTGTGTACACTCACTTTCTAACAGGTGCTCTTTTGTGAGAATTTTGCATTACTATATAACAGGCTGTACAAATACTGTACAGGAAATTGCAGAATTGAGTCTTATTTGCATGACAATACCACCTAAAGAAGAGCCCTGTGTAAGCTCAAAAGCTTGTGTCTCTCACAAAAATTGGTCTAATAAAAGATATTAAGTCACCAACTTTGTCTCTAGTACCACTTAATCACATTTGTGAAGGTACTGATACAATTTAGCTTTATCAAATGCTTTCTTAAGTGGAGGAAAGAGTGCATGTAGATGACCAGAGCAGTGTATGAATGTCCTCAGCATATTAGTAGTCATATACCAGCACCACAATAGACAAGATTTCCTCCATATCAAATTAGCAAGAATGAAAGCCAAGAAGACTTAGAGATTTTGATTAAGTGTAATATACATGTTACACAATGAAAGTGGCCTGTGCAGTTATACTGGGGAATCAGTTTGGTAATGCAGAATGATGGCCTTCTGAAATAAAAAGGCTTTAGAACTAAGGGTTTGTCTACACTATGAAATTAGGTCGAATTTATAGAAGCCGGTTTTATAGAAATCGGTTTTATACAGTCAATTGTGTGTGTCCCCACATAAAATGCTCTAAGTGCATTAAATCGGCGGACTGTGTCCACAGTACCGAGGCTAGCGTCGACTTCCGGAGCGTTGCTCTGTGGGTAGCTATCCCACAGTTTCCACCGCCCATTGGAATTCTGGGTTGAGATCCCAATGCCTGATGATGCAAAAACAGTGTCGCAGGGGGTTCTGGGTACATGTCAGGCCCCTCCCCCTCCGTCAGAGCAACGGCAGACAATCGATTTGTGCCTTTTTACCTGGGTTACCAGTGCAGACAACATACCACGGCAAGCATGGAGCCCGCTCAGCTCAGCTCACTGTCACCATATGTCATCTGGGTGCCGGCAGACGTGGTACTGCATTGCTATACAGCAGCAGCTCCTTGCCTTTTGGCAGTAGATGGTGTATTACGACTGGTATCCATTGTTGTCGTATTCCTCAGTGAGTTCGATCAGAGGCACCTGGGCAGACATGTTTTGTCTCCTGGAGACTCAGTCCTGCCGGCAGTCCTACTGAACCGTCTTGACGATGATGGCTAGCAGTCGTAATACAGCATCTTCTGCCAAGCACCCAGAAGATGCCGATGGCTATCAGTCATGCTGCACCGTCTGCTGCTAGCCTAACGTGTAAAAGATACATGGACCAGATTTGTTCTGTATTCATTTGCTTCCCCCTCCCTCCGTGAAATCAATGGCCTGCTAAACCCAGGGTTTTGAGTTCAATCTTTGGGGGGGCCATTCTGTGTGACAGTTGTTTGTGTTTCTCCCTGATGCACAGCCACCTTTGTTGATTTTAATTCCCTGTAAGCCATGTCGTCACTCACCTCTCCCTCCGTCAGACAATAGTTTTGCGCCTTTTTTCAGCCCAGACGCCATAGCACTGGGATCATAGAGCCCGCTCAGATCACCGAGGCAATTATGAGCACTATGAACACCGCGCACATTGTCCTGGAGTATATGCAGAGCCAGAACATGCCAAAGCAAAACCAGGCGAGGAGGCGATTGCAGCGCAGCGACGAGAGTGATGAGGAAATTGACATGGACATAGACCTCTCACAAAGTACAGGCCCCAGCAATGTGCAAATCATGGTGTTACTGGGGGAGGTTCATGCGTGGAACGCCGATTCTGGGCCCGGGAAACAAGCACAGACTGGTGGGACTGCATCGTGTTGCAGGTGTGGGGCAATTCCCAGTGGCTGCGAAACTTTCGCATGCGTAAGGGCACTTTCATGGAACTTTGTGACTTGCTTTCCCCTGCCTTGAAGCACCAGAATACCAGGATGAGAGCAGCCCTCACAGTTGAGAAGCGAGTGGCGATAGCCCTGTGGAAGCTTGCAACGCCAGACAGCTACCGGTCAGTCGGGAATCAATTTGGAGTGGGCAAATCTACTGTGGGGGCTGCTGTGATCCAAGTAGCCAACGCAATCAAAGACCTGCTGATATCAAGAGTAGTGACTATGGGAAACGTGCAGGTCATAGTGGATGGCTTTGCTGCAATGGGATTCCCAAACTGTGGTGGGGCGATAGACGGAACCCATATCCCTATCTTGTCACCGGAGCACCAAGCCACCGAGTACATAAACCACAAGGGGTACTTTTCAATGCTGCTGCAAGCCCTGGTGGATCATAAGGGACGTTTCACTAACATCAACATGGGATGGCCGAGAAAGGTACATGATGCTCGCGTCTTCAGGAACTCTGGTCTGTTTCAAAAGCTGGAGGAAGGGACTTTCTTCCCGGACCAGAAAATAACCGTTGGGGATGTTGAAATGCCTATCGTTCTCCTTGGGGACCCAGCCTACCCCTTAATGCCATGGCTCATGAAGCTGTACACAGGCAGCCTGGACAGTAGTCAGGACCTGTTCAACTATAGGCTGAGCAACTGCCGAAGGGTGGTAGAATGTGCATTTGGACGTTTAAAAGCGCACTGGCACAGTTTACTGACTCGGATAGATCTCAGCGAAGCCAATATTCCAATTGTTATTGGTGCTTGCTGTGCGCTCCACAATATCTGAGAGAGTAAGGGGGAGACATTTATGGCGGGGTGGGAGGTTGAGGCAAATCGCCTGGCCGCTGATTACGCGCAGCCAGACACCAGGGCGGTTAGAAGAGTACAGCAGGGCGCGGTGCGCATCAGAGAAGCTTTGAAAACCAGTTTTGTGACTGGCCAGGCTACGGAGTGAAACTTCTGTTTGTTTCTCCTTGATGAACGCCCCCCGGTTCACTCTACTTCCCTGTAAACTAACCACCCTCCCCTCCCCCCTTCGAGCACCGCTTGCAGAGGCAATAAAGTCATTGTTACTTCACATTCATGCATTCTTTATTAATTCATCACACAACTAGGGGGATAACTGCCAAGGTAGCCCGGGAGGGGTGGGGGAGGAGGGAAGGAAAAGAACACACTGCAGTTTAAAACTTTAACACTTATTGTAGGCCAGCCTTCTGATGCTTGGGCAATCATCTGGGGTGGAGTGGCTGGGTGGCTGAAGGCCCCCCCACCGCGTTCTTGGGCGTCTGTGTGAGGAGGCTATGGAACTTGGGGAGGAGGGCTGTTGGTTGGGGAAGAGGGCTGTTGGTTACACAGGGGCTGTAGCGGCGGTCTCTGCTCGTGCTGCCTGTCCTGCAGCTCAACCATAAGCTGGAGCATATCAGTTTGGGATGATCACTTCACCCCTCCCCCCCATCACGTGGTTAACGGCGGGGAACATTTCAGTTCAGCCGAGCAGGAACGGGCACCTCTGAATGTCCCCTTAATAAAATCACCCATTTCAACCAGGTGACCGTGAATGATATCACTCTCCTGAGGATAACAAAGAGCGATAAGGAATGGATGTTGTCTGCATGCCAGCAAACACCAGGACCATATGCTGCCATGCTTAGTTAT